CCGAAGCAGACACCCAGCTGCCCAACTTCAGCAGTTGTCTGCTCTCATAGCCTGCATCCCATTTGAACGTGCTTGAGCTCAGCTGCAGCTAATGCTCAGATGCTGCTAGATAATATTTTTCCCTAGCTAAAATGGGGTTTATCGGTTCAGAAGAGATGCAATTCACAGATAAAAACAACTTCCTCTAACTGCTGATTAGATAAGCAGGCTTAGCATCCGTACTCAAAAGCCTGCTGCCCAATCTCCAATTACGCCAGAGCCCACTGCTTTCTCTTTCCACTTGTGAAAACCTCTCTCCAGCGTCTCCTCCCTTCCGGCCATGGAATAGCATTACGGCCATTGCCCATCTCTTGGCAGAGCCCTGGTGGGCCACCTGAAGCCTTCAAATGAAGGAGACATTTGGCGCAGGAATGGCTGATAAGGATGCTAATCGATGTTAATGTCTTACAAGTCCCACCATCTTCAAACTCAAGACTGAGGGAGGCGATTTTTACTTTGGTTGAATGAATCAAAAAAAATTCTGTTTTTACACACTAAATCGTATTCTTGGATTTAAGGGGGGAAAAAGCTGTATTTTTTTTCTACCTTATTTTCTTCCCATTTTTGCCAGGGTGAATCAAACCTTGGTCAAAGAACTCAAAGGAAAGAACTCATGGCATGCTAATCAGCTTCAAGAAGGCTGCCTTGGGAGTGCGGAGACCAGTTCTCAAGGACATGCCATGAGGTGCCAGCTGTAGTAATTCAGTCCTAAAATCAACCACCACCGTGGAACAATGGTATCACCTCCCGACTCTGGGAGCAGGTCACATGAGTGGGCAGAGGCCAAAGAAGCACCTCCCAGGATGTAATTCAGCACGTATGTATGTAGACGTGTATGTTAGGGCCACATGCAAACATCACCACTGCCTAAGGTCAGCCAGTTATCCTCTCAGGTAGCCAGGCTATTTGGTGAGCCTCGTCCAACCCCACCACGGTCTCCAGTCTTTGGCCGTCCCCCAATGACTGCACTGTCCCTCTGTGCCGGCCTACGTCATCCTTCCAGTTCAGTCCCACCACCTCACTGTGCTCTGCCTTGCTCTTCTCTGTGATGCCCACATACTAACTTTGCTGGCCATCTTTCTCAGGGGTGGCCTGCTCTTTCTTGCCTGTAATCATTCTTCTCTTTCTCTGCTATCTCCCTGTCTCCTCTGCTCCAGCCTACCGAGCCTGCTCCCCACCAGTGACTACACTCATAGGCAGGGGGCCTCCTCCTATGCACAGCCAGGCTTGGGTGTCTGTCAAAGCACCACCCACAGTCATCTCCTCCTGCAGGCTGTGTGCTCCCTGGCAGCATCCTAGAGCTCGGTGGCCTTGCTCCACTGTAGGAAATGGAAACCATACAAGCAAAGGGAAAGGAGGGCGTCATGTGCAAAAATTCATGCTGTGAAGATGGAAGAAATGTAAGGGGTTACTGAATAAATGGAGAACACAACTAAGTTTTTAGTTTCTTATATGCAATGCTTTTATCCCCTCTATTAGACACCGATCCTGACGTAATTCCTACGAGATGCTTTTAAACATCCCTGGTCAACAGCTGCCAGAAGAAATCTCAGCCGCCTTCCACTTCTCTAGTGAGCCTGCCATGGCTGAGTGTGTAAATTTGGGGTTGCCTTACGAGGTCACTGAGTACAGCCTCTGCCTTGAGCAGTTTCATAAACAACCACTTCAGAGAGGTGAGATTTCTCTCATTTTTAAAGAGACCACTTCAGAAGAACAAGCTATCATCTCATTAAATAGTTGGGTCTGATGACTAAATCCTGCATCACCGGTAAGTTCTCCTTTGTGTCTAACTTAAGTTCTTCAAGCTGCACCTCAATCCGTTTCCTCTTCTTCAACTGTTCTAATCAAGACCTTCCTCTCCCATCCCAAGTGCTACAAACGTTACCTCCTCTCCCTTCTCAAGTGAGGCCACCACAGATGCCCTTGCCTGTCTCACGAGGCTTTAAACGTTCCGTTTTGTGCAGGTTGCATTCTTTCCCTCCTTATTGTCCTTTTTACTTTATGTCTTAGCTATTCTGTCTTCAGAGAAGTATGTTTACATTTTTACATGCGACCCTGGAGGCCATGCTGTGAGATGTGTTTCATGGCTGTTGCCCCTTGAAGATGAGAAACAGGCTCAGCGAGGTAGGACTCTGGCCAGGGGCACATGGCCAGGAGAGGGGCTTGGACATACATCCTCTCCGCTCTGCCAGCCTCCACCTTTCCACGTGGCCCTCGCACCCCTCTTACACGTCCTGTGGCCTGAGCTCAACAGGGGCCCGTCCCCTCATGCTTCAATACTCCTGCGCAGGGAGGGGCTGCTTCCGTTTCCTGTGGTCTGTCCCCTGATACGCCTTTGCGCTTCAGACTCCTTCCCATGGAGCTGATGAAATGTGGCTTCATGTGTATTTCCTTTTCCTTCAATCTGTTAATTCCCCTGTCTTTTTATATTGTCTCCTAGTGCTATTTACATACTTAATTTGCTTAATGACACATCTTACAAATCACTGTCATGAACAGCCTACCACTACATCCTAATGCTGGTTGGTTTCCTTCAGAAATCATGAGGGATGGGTACATGAACTTGCCTGCTGTGAAGAGCAGTTGGCTTCCCCGACACCTCCCTCTGCATTCCTGCTTGTTAACCTCTCCCCTCCAGAGCAATGTCGGCTGCTTTTGCTTTTGCATTTTTGGCTTTCTTGAAATGATCCGTCCATTTTTCCTATGGCCTCTGTGAGAGCATTCCCTCTCCAAAATAATATTCCAGCGCCCACCTTGTGTGGCTTACCATGCCTGCCCACATGGCTGCACCAACCCCCACACACAACCAAGCAGGGACGTTTCTCTGCTGCTTCAAACTGTACAGCCCCAGAGCTCATTTTTATAACTTTTATCCTGAAAGGAGACATGGAATGAAAATCTTCACTGGGTGCACATTAGGACCTGGAGCTCAAATCTCCGCCAGGAGATGCAGTCAGAGAACAGACAGAGGAGCCCACCAGGGGGCCTTACCAGGGGAGGCCCGCCACCAACTCAGAGTTCACAGGCGGGCATTCAGGGTACCATGAAGGCATTTAAACCAAGCTGTCCTTGTCTACGCCAGCAAGCCACACAGTTCTCTACTCTCCAGGAACCAGGCTGACTTTCAGTTCTCTAAAGGACACCCCTGGCGACCAGGCTCGCAGGCTGCAGGCAGTGGCGGGGATTTCAGGGAAAGCTCCCTGCCCTCTCTAGTGACCCAAGAGTCCTTGCACTGACGTCGTCTAGGCTCTTGGCCCACTTAAGTAGTTAACTGGCTACGTATCCACACAGTTCTTTCTGGCACTCGCTCCCTGAGCCCTCACTGTGTCCTGGGTAAGTATGAGCCTCTGTTTGTTGATGTCTGAAGTGCAGGGCATAGTACCCATGTCACTGGGCATCTCAGGGACCAAACAAGCTGAGACAACACAGGGTCGCCTCAACATGAGCTATTCATGTGCCTCCTTTGCACCTCTTTTCACATACATGCATCATCACTGGCTTACTATTTTTGTTTGAATTTGATGTTTTTAATTTATGTAAGCAGGTTTTGGAAGGAATCTTTGCGTGGTGTATGATAAACCTGTACCACTTCATAATCAACAAATGAAGATCTTAAATACAGATGCAGCAATTACAAAAAAAGCATGCTCTTCTGTGTCCCAACCCTGGGCGATCCTGAAATGATGGGTATAGAACAAACCAGAGATGCTTCTCTTCTCTTCCCACCTAGCCTCCCACACATAGCAGCCATCTCCTAACAGGGAAAAAGCACTCATATGTACTTGTTTTCTTGGTTCATCTGCATCAAATGGCTTCAGCCACTATTTTTGTCTGTCTGTACAATTAACTGTATAGCTAAATTAAAAAAAAAGAACCATTATACCCAAAATTTAGTTGGTCTCTGAGACACATGAAAACACACAAAATATGTTTCTTAGTTATTATACCAGAATGTCTACTAGAAAGACTGCTGTGGTGATTTCCTAATCCTGAGAATTTCTCTGTGTTCCCCTCCTTGGCAGTGGGGGCTTACACAGCTGGTCCACGTGTGGGCCATTCTACCTCATTTTCACCTATATTCTTTCTGATACTCTTTTGTGCAAATAAGTGGCTCTCAATACCTGTTGTTGTCTTTTAAAAAAGAAGAAGAAAACAGATACTTCAAAGGTCTGTTAACTTGTCAGTTCACGGTTGCATGCTATAATGGAGTGAAAACTAGTATTTGAGCCAGAAACTGAGTCTTGCTCTGACTCTGCTGTTGACTTTGGTTAATCCACTGAACCTCTCTGGGCCTCTCCTTTTTTCTACTAAAGAGGGTGGGCCACGGTTTCCAAACATGAACTGCAGCATGTGCATGTTAACTGGGGGAGAGATTGTGGATACTCCTATACCCACCCCTTCATGGAAAAGGAATATAAATGTATGCTGATCATCTAGATTTATTTTTAACATAAAAAATTTTCTAATTATCACATTTTCTATTTTGGGTAAAATTTGACACTAAAGAAATAGAGATGAGAGGGTAACAGAACATGCAGATTTGGCTCCTTTCAACTAAAGCTCTAGAAATAAACTGCCCTATTGCCATAACACATAAAATATGTAATTTTCACTATCTTCAAACTAGTAAGACTGGGTATTTCTGCAGTGTACTGAGACAGAAGACAAGAGGAGCGATGTGCCCCCCATGGGAGTGGGGGTGCTTCTCAACACTGCCATTCTGCTCCACATGTGGGTCTCAAAGCCACGTGGACCTATGAGGGTCTAGCTCCATCACACAAGAGGGCCCCATTCTGCTGATCTTTATTCTGCACTTCCCTAGCATTGTGGTTGAGGGGAAACAACAGATAAAACGAGTCCATCACTTAATGGCTGTCTGGAAGGATCTAAAGAGCCGAAGGTGGCACAGGAGCAGAGCATGCAATAGCCTGCCAGTGGGACGCCCACATGGCCCAACTCACCCACTCCTCTCTCGCTCTTGGAGTTCTGCTGCCCTCCAGATGTGGTGGATAGGTCCTCAGGGACAGGCATGGGCTCATCACCATCATCTGGGGTGTCGCTTACTGGAGGGCTTTCCTTCCCTGAGGAGACAAGTAGGAGCTTGAGTTTCTGGGGATGCGGTCCACACGGAGTGCTGGGCCAGCAGGAGGCCCAAGTACCTGCGCTGCACGGTGGCTTGGCTTGAGGACAGCATGAGGGGGTATTACTGGCCCAAGGCAATGCTTCTCCGAGGAATTAAAGTCTGTTTTCCTTTTTATAAAAGAATGTCATTGCCACACACAAGAAAGAGAGAACATGGATGTACAAAGGAAAAAGCATATAAGTCACCTGCAATCCTAGAGGCACTATTACCACTATTAAAATCATGGGAACTGTGTGTGTATACATATGTACATACATATTTATATATAAATTATTTATATGTTATATATATTGATTTATATGTTATAGATAATATGTGGTGATAGATTTTCTTTATCAAAATAAATTATAGTTTTTAGGCCTTCTCATGAACACTCTTCTGTGCCAGGGACCATGCTTCCACAGCCTTATTTATAATGTCTCCATTTCATGGGCACTATAGGATTCCTTTAAATCCTTTCTCTATTTTCGATCTTATATTGCTTTCAATCTTTTTTCATATTAAACAACAATATGGTGAACGCTCTAACAGCCAACCTTTGCACTTGTTTTTAATAATGGCCATAGGATAAATCCCCTAATTTTTATGCCTGGATTGAAAGGCATCTGCATTTTTAAGGCTCCTTATTCCCTATGCCAGATTTTCCTGTTAGGCTTTTCCAGTGTACCTTCCATGAACGGGCTTCACCACACCCTCATGTTGATCTGCTCCGAAGTTCACCAGAGGGAGCATCCTGCTCAGAGCTGCACATTCCGCATCTGTTCGTTTTCTTTTCAAGAGCCAGGGAATATTTTCCCAGCTGCCTAATTTGATTCAACTTGGTAGGGAAGGGAGGCTTGAAAAGAGGATAAGCAGGGAGTACCATGCCTCCTGGGACCATCATTCCCTTCTCATGTGCATGGACTCTGCCAATAGGACTTCTTATCTTTGAAGAATGAAAATCAAATATAATCCACAAATTTGCGCTTATCCTTCACAAAGGGGGACTTACCAAATGAAATAGGGTTTTGCAGGATGCCTAGATCTATTCTGACTGAACTAGAATCAAGTTTAACCAGAGGCCCCAGCAATGGGGAACTCACTTCCACTCCCAGACTCAACACTGGGAAGCCAAACTGGTAGGAAATGCTTTTTCCTTTGACACTGAAACCCCTATACCCTCTAATCTTCTAGTAACTTAAAATTGAGTTGGGAGACACAGACCACATGCAAGAAATAGCTGATGGGGCCCTAAACAGATGCAAAATAGCTCATCAGAGCCACCATAGAAGACCAGTTGAGATTAAGACCCTAAAGGAAGGTTAATAGGAGAGAGACAGACTGGGATGGCATGGCTGCTGGCTGCGCTGGCTGCTGGGCTTACCAGGCAAAGAAATAGTCCCACACTGGCAAACCCAGACTTTTGTAGAGGAAAGCGTACAAATGATCAGAATGGCGTTAACGTACCTAGTAATCATTTTTAAGGCTCCTTATTCCCTATGCCAGATTTTCCTGTTAGGCTTTTCCAGTGTACCTTCCATGAACGGGCTTCACCACACCCTCATGTTGATCTGCTCCGAAGTTCACCAGAGGGAGCATCCTGCTCAGAGCTGCACATTCCGCATCTGTTCGTTTTCTTTTCAAGAGCCAGGGAATATTTTCCCAGCTGCCTAATTTGATTCAACTTGGTAGGGAAGGGAGGCTTGAAAAGAGGATAAGCAGGGAGTACCATGCCTCCTGGGACCATCATTCCCTTCTCATGTGCATGGACTCTGCCAATAGGACTTCTTATCTTTGAAGAATGAAAATCAAATATAATCCACAAATTTGCGCTTATCCTTCACAAAGGGGGACTTACCAAATGAAATAGGGTTTTGCAGGATGCCTAGATCTATTCTGACTGAACTAGAATCAAGTTTAACCAGAGGCCCCAGCAATGGGGAACTCACTTCCACTCCCAGACTCAACACTGGGAAGCCAAACTGGTAGGAAATGCTTTTTCCTTTGACACTGAAACCCCTATACCCTCTAATCTTCTAGTAACTTAAAATTGAGTTGGGAGACACAGACCACATGCAAGAAATAGCTGATGGGGCCCTAAACAGATGCAAAATAGCTCATCAGAGCCACCATAGAAGACCAGTTGAGATTAAGACCCTAAAGGAAGGTTAATAGGAGAGAGACAGACTGGGATGGCATGGCTGCTGGCTGCGCTGGCTGCTGGGCTTACCAGGCAAAGAAATAGTCCCACACTGGCAAACCCAGACTTTTGTAGAGGAAAGCGTACAAATGATCAGAATGGCGTTAACGTACCTAGTAAACGTGAGGTGGAGTGAGCAGTGTCCCTGTTTGTTTCAGTAAGCCGCCTGTGAGAACGGCACCCACACTCCAGATCAGTGGCAAGCCCAGAGCACGCTTCTCCAGCACAGGAAATGAGCCTTACTTCATTTAAAATAGAACCTGAGCAAGCACCAAGGAGATGCTTCGCGGAACAACAGTGCATTCTCTAGGAAGCAGACATCACAATTTCATATCTCAGCTTCGCTGTAATTACCACAATTGGCATATTTTCAGAAAGAGCATTATTGGGTGTATTTGGATCACCAAGACAAGATGAATAGTTAAAGATACAGCAGGATCGTAAGAATTTCTCAAGGAAAAACAAAACGCCAGAGAGAAATTGATTGGCAGTGCTCATGTTACACTAAGACCTTGTAAATGTCTTTTGTCAGTAGTATTTCCATTGCCCTAAATAGAAGCCTTTAGAAGTAACAGTAGCTAGGTGTCTCTGTGTTATTTTTCACCTATTTCATAAGGGGGGAATCTCTGAACAGGAGAATGCAGGTGGCATATGGATAGTTTGACAACTCGGTTTTTTCCTGACGACCTAGAGTAATGGCTTCTGGACTTTGGGGACTCCAGAGGGGTGGCCAGAGGAATTTTTTTGGGGAGGGGGGTAAGAATAATCTTACCGGAACTTCAAATATAAAAACCAGTCTCCTATGAAAGTGGGGCCACCGCAGAGTGGGGAGGCTGTAAGATCAGAGCCCAAGGCCATCTGCCTTCGCACAGACTCCCGAGGAACCCCCTAGGAACGAAAAGTGGAGACCCTGGCATAACAAGCTGGCCCACTGACTGGATGTGCAGAGTATGGGGGTGCCCACATGTTGTGTGACTAACCAGCTGTCATTATCATGGGGTGAGGCTGAGAGACTAAACTTTATGGACATATTTTCTTACTATCATCTTCCCTGGGACAGCTTGGGAGGGTTCCCTGATGGGGCTGGTTCAGACCCCAGGACACCCTGGAGCCAAGGGAGGACCATCAAGAATCAGGATTTATCCAACGAAGCAATGTGCTCTCTCTGCTATATTCAGGCTAGAATAGGTCCACGTAACTCTTGATTACCTTCTAAAAAGCCTGATAGGTCTGTTTGTTAGGAAGCAAGACAAGTACACATTGAGGATGCTTATGATACACATGTGCTTCTTAAGAATGCTTCCTGTCTCCTCTCTGAGTCAAATGCCAGCTGTCTAGTGCCCTCATCTTGAAGCTAGTACTTTCCTTGTTTTCTACAAGAGGGAGAGAAAGGAGTAATGAAAGCAGTAGGGACTGTGACTAAAACACCGTGGGTCAGACTGAACAACAGACGGTCCCAGCGGAGGAAACAAGTTGGGAGAAGGGAGAACAAACAGCCGGTCTCGGTGCATCCAGGGCGTCTAGCAAACAGACAGAACCAGAGAAGAGCAAAGTTGGATATATTCGCATGAACTCCAAGAGCTCTGCTGTAATTCAGCCCTGCTTGGCTGTCACTCAGTGGAGATTTTTAAGAGGCCATCTGATTTGCCTAAAAGCCCCCAAAGTTTGACAAGTAGCTGCTGAGACATTAATCACTCTCACCAGCCTTTGCACCCAGCGACCTTTGGAGTCTCCACTGTTGGAGATTTCCACATGAACATTCGCCATTTGTGAAAGTCTTCATGATCAGCAAAAGTATTCTTGTGTGTGGTTTTAAACAAAGTTGCTCAGTAAACCATTTAAAATGCTAAGCCATAGAAAGATTATAAAAGATAAGAAAATAAAATTATTAAATCAAGTCAGCACATCCTAAATATTAACCCCTGTGACTAGAAATCCGTTGACCCAGGATACAGTTCTGGTTTGACCAATTATAAGACTGGCAGAAACATGGAATAAATCATCTCCTTAGAGTCTTTCCTCAAGAGCAAAAATGAGGCCCTAAACCATGATTTGGCCTTAGCTCACAGGGCTGTTATGACTATAAAATAATGCGTATGAATTCTGATAATCTCAATAAATGTATGGGATTATTTTATAAACTGTAATATACTATATAGAACCATAAGGTATGTGTGGCACCAACTGCCCATATTTTCCCTAAATTCATACACAAAGACAAGCAAACATACAGAACATAGAAAGAAATCAAGTATTTGAATGGAATAATTTAGGAGGTGCAATAAATTTCACCTGTTTAGAAAAATGAAAGAAACTTCTTACCAATTTATATTTAATTTATCTACTGCCTTTGTTTCATAAGCATTACCCATGAGAAGTGTTTGGGGCAAATTAGATTAGAAAATTATCTGAGCAGCTTATCAACAGCAAGCAAATACTTTCTCAAGTGGGTTATAATCCATCCAACAAAGTTCTGTGATTCCCTGTCTCCCAAATGCATTAGTTTTTATTACATATATTCTTAAAAAATTACCCAGGTGAACATAATTCCTGGGGGTAAATAAAAACTCAGAATATAGACTCTCTCCTCTAGAGACTGGGGGTGAAGCTTGCACTCCAGGGTCCAAATGGGGCTGGCACCCCAGTGTCACATCTAGCTCCCTATGGGACTTCTGGTCAGCTACTGAAATTCTCTTGAGTCTTAGCTCCCTTTCACCTGTATCTTCTTCACTGGGTGCTTGCAAAATTGCAAAGAGAAAAAACACTTAGGGTAGTGTTTGGTGAATGTAAAGCTGTTTATCAGTGTGATTTACTGCAGTGACATTTCCACTGACACTTGAGTGGGGGTGAGCCTCATTTCCCTACGCAGAACACATTTGTCTACAGAGCATATTCCTTGTTTCCATGTTCCAACAAACATGACAAATATCACTAAGAAAACATCCAACAGAGCTTTAGGGTCACAGGAGCAGAGGATCCTTAACATCAACCAGCTCATGTCCCTCATTTTGCAGATGACACTACAGGAGTCCAGGAGGTAGGAAAAATGCTTCAGGTCCCACAGCTGGAGACAGAGATGGGAGGTGATACAGGTTTCACAATTCCCATCTCTCACAGGCTTTTTCTCTTAGAAACCAAATAAAAAAATAATGCACATGCAATAAAATATACTTCAGAAATACTGCCAGAGAAGAAAGAGAGTCAGAAAACTAAAATCTTACCAAAAGAATGAAAGAGATGTGCTCTAAAGGAGAGGATAGCTCACTTCCAAACCTATTCAGTAACATTGCTCCAAACTGGTGGATACAAGTCAGTAAACAGTCATTGAATGTCCATCAAGACACTATCAACCAGGTATCAGTAGACAGTTATGATAAATCCCAGGGAAGCAAGACCCAAGTGGATTGAAAAAAGTCAGATATTAACTATTTATCTATTTTCAAAGTGATTATTTCACACATATATTTCACATATTTCACTGACTCCTAATGAAACTGCTGATCCTGCAGCATTTTTTACCTATGAATGTGCCGCTTTCATAGGATTCAACTTAGAAAAATCTACTTTTCTCTTTGCTGTGGACAGAACAAAACACTGCATAATTTTATGAGAAAAAAGGATGATTAAGTAGTGTATTCCTCAGAGTTCTTATAAAAAATGTCAACTACTGTTTGGCTAAATGTACACCCTTATTCCATAATTAACAGCCACTTCCCTCAATTTTAGAACCGAAAATGAAAAAGTGATATGATTAGGTTTTAATTAGAGAAGCAGCAAGAAATAAAA